GGAATATGCCGATGAAGTATGAAAATTGACCAGCACAACTTGTACAGAACTTAAAAGACATGACAAGAAACAAAAAAACCAAAAACCCCTTTGGAATGATTCCCAGCCTTCGGGAGGAAAGAATGTATGTCTGTCTTGGCAGCTTTCAGCATATTGGACCCTAAAACTGCAGCAACTTAATACAGAGAAAAGTTATTTTAGAGGCTTTTAAAAATGCATTAGACCTAGTTTTTCTTTCACTACATTGCCTGTACATGCATGATAAATAAAGCAAGCCTACTTCACAGGCAAAAAAGATCAGAAAAAATAATTCTTAAAACAATTTTTACACTCTTAATGTTTCCATAAAATAGCTTTTCTCCAAAATGCACAGCACAAGTAACCACATGACGTGAAAGTACGGCATAAGGGATGCGTGTATCTCACAAGCTCCCAGAGATTACTGTGTTAACTCTCAAGAAACATGCAACAGTCTCCCAAGTTACCATGTAATCATATTTAAATTACATGATACTGGACTTTCTTCTCCCACATTGCACACTGCTGTTACGCTTGAAATTCCTCAGGGCAAGGACTGTGTCTGTATCTATTTTCTAAGGTGTTATGCAAACATATGGTCTTGCAATAACTAATAAATAATCATGAGTAGGCAGTAACCTCAAACCCAGGTCAGGAGATCTTTTATACCTATGCCATTGCTTGCTGTCCTGTGTTACACATGTATACCCGTGTGCATACATAGGTGAGCATACATGCGCGTGGGAACAAAGTGGTGTGTACTGGTGGCAGTGGTGATGATGCAGAGGTAAAATCTGTCTCCAGTACTTTTCCTGGCAATTTTGTACCCAATTAACTGAAAATATTAAACCGTTACATTAACAGATCACACGCTATCATGCCTGTGTAATTGAGGGAGTAAAATTCTTTTGAGTCAAAATTTCAGAAAAAAGTGAATGGTACGTTCTGAGCTATTGCCTGGTTCTTAAACTGATCGTGCATTTTTGTATCAACGGGGGGAATGATGTCTGTTCCTTTGAAAATAAATAAATTGTAGGTTTTATGACTCGGATAAAGGAAATGTGGTGTCCTTGGTGATGCTTGAACTTAGCATAAACTGCCAAGCCAGCTACATATATGTTGTTAAAAAATTTTCTATTGGAAGTATGAACAAGATCTTTCATAATTACTTATAGCTCTTCCCCAGCTATGCCTCTTGCAAGGATAGCAGAACATGATGTATTTGGTCACCTGCAAACCATATCATTGGGTCCTAAAACTGTGAAGTCATGATTTAAATAAAAAGAAAAAATTTTAGTAAAAGTGGGATGCAGACCTCTATTTTTGCGATGTTTCTGATGAACACATTTTTCCCATAGATTACCAACCAAATAACTACATAGTTCTCCAATTAATTTTGCTAAAAAAGAAAGAGAAGATACATTTCCTCCATAGTATCGATAACTTAGTTCCTGTAATTATGAAGCAATTGTGACTGTAGTCCCTGCAATGCCTACAGTGGAAATAGCCCATAAATCCACATTCAAAGGCGAAACTCCTTTGCTCCCGTTTCTTCTTTATCCTGATCCTTAGTTTTGTTCTCAGTGGAGGAGCAAACCCACTATCAAAGCTCCAAAAGTGACTTCTTTGAGCCTAGGAGAGAGAGGGAATAAACTGAAACCACTGTCCTTCAAAAAACAGTATTAAGTAAGTTGTACTCGATTGAAACATATGGGGGACAGCCACTCAGGTCTGGGCTGTAGTTTATTTATGGACAGCCACTCACCGAGGTCGGTCCTCTCTCCCTGTTGCAGAGTGTGGTTTTGTTTTGCTAAACTGTGCGCAGTTTGTCCTTCCTCTGCCTTTACCTTGCACACTCTTCCTCGGACTGGGGAGCTTGATCACTGCCATCATCTTCAAAGACGATGCGAACTGCGGTGAAGATCAGTGATGTTCCCCTACAGCTGTGTTTTGGGGAAGGGGGAACGGGCGTTCTGTTGTTGCTTTTGCTTAATCATTAAAGAGCAGATTTCTCTTTGTCAAGAGAAATCTTGACAAAGTCTACATTAATTCACAGTAGTTCAAGCAGCCTAAAAGTAAATATATCTTTTGAAGAATCATTTGTAAGATGATTCTCTGTTTGTCTGCATCAGCCAGAGTGAGGGGAAATAGTTGAGTCACTCTACCAAATATTGATAACCAGTTACAGTGGCCTTTAGATGGCATATGTGACCTGGGAGATAGGAACTGGGTATCTGGCAGTTATCACTGAGAAAGTTTGTAGAACTAAATGAAATAATCAGTTTTGGTGTTTTGTATTGTTGTATCTAAGCCATGCTCTGACTAGGTCTTTTTGCACAACTCACATTGAAATGAATGGAAACCATACGCACAGGAGAGAAAAATGGACTCATAAAGAAATTATCCTCTTCTTAACACTGTCTTACTAGTGTTCTCTTTCTTCTCCAGGCACCTTAACAATGAACATGCATTGGATGACAGAAGCACTGCTCAGTGTCGGGTGCAAATGCAAGTGGTTCAGCAGTTAGAAATACAGGTTTGTTACATGGATGTATTATCCTATTACTTATTTACTATTAACCTTAACTAAATTGAAAGCATTTGCCTTAGTGACTCTAGCTTAAAGCCATATGTTTCTTGCATGAAATTTGTTGATATTCATGAACAAGTGGGGTTTTTTTTACTTAAAGATTTTTCACATTATGAATTATGCAATAATTATCTAACATCAGCATTGTCTACAGTATTTTGCTTGAGCTAAGACCCTAATGCCATTCATCACAAATGAAATTTCAGTTCCTGGAGCAGAGACTGTATCCAAGCCGTCTTCAGTTCTTGAAATGCTGGGTCGGGACCCCTCTTCCTTCTTCCCCTTCTGACCCCGTGCTTATCTATGCCGTTCTGCAGGACAATGGAGTAGCAGAGCGTATCTCCACCCAAAATGACTCCCAACCTGGTGGTGGGCATTTTTCTGTGAGCCGAAGGTGTAATGTCACACCCACTCAGGGAGGTCCCCAGGGAGTCCTACAGCCAGGACCGCAGCACTCGGGTGCCCTGTTCAGGCTCTAACCGTTAGAGGTCACTGCATGTATGTGAATGCTCCCTCCAGCTTAGGGAAGAAGTGACAAGTACCCCTGGGGTCTCCCAGTGTTGAGACTACACTTGCCAGGCTACTGAGGCTGGGGGCAAACCTTGGCAGCCCAGGACGACCATGCGGGGTGCTTACACCATGCAGTCTCCTCCCGCCTGTTCGGGAGTTGTAGGAGAACATTTCTCAGGAGTCCCCTCCTCTCTCGGGAGGGTGCAGAGGAGCCCAAGGGATGCAGTGAGGGACTGAGATGTTTTTCCCTATTTGTTGCCATGTGTGGAGAAAGAAGAATAAACACCTTTCAGCTTTCTCGCCTTTTAGCATATTGTCTCACCGTTGTCATGCATGTAAGAATACTTGTTCTCTCAACCAAAGCAAACTGTTGGGGTCTTTTGTATTTTTATACTGGAAACTGAAAGCAATGAGGGGAATGTACCATAATGTAATTTTTGCCATTTCCCTTGAAGTGAAATTTTGTAAACCCAGGCAAAGCTGTAGTTTCTTTTGTAAGATATATAGGACAGTGTTAGCTTAATTTGTTTGTTAGCAATTTACATCATGGCAAATAGCATGTCTCTAAAATATGACACACGTAATATGAAGCCTAAGAAGAAACCTTTTTCCCACCCATGCCTCAGATTAACTAAAGATGCACTGATGAAATTATATCCACAATACCCAAAATATCTGCAGGAATACAGGTAGTTTCCTCTTGTTTAAATTACTTACAAGTTGTTTTGCTTAGTCCAGTCTCAGTGTACAGGTGTAACTCCTGAGCTGAATACATGCAAGAAAGTATTACAGAACTCTCTGGAAAATGGCAGTGTTAAACACCTAGTGATTCTTGTTGCAATTAATGTCATAATCGTTTTGTAGGTATCCAAAGCCGTTTCACGAGAATAAAATTTCGAGCATTTCTTCTTGCAACCAAGCTTTTGAAAAAAAATCATTCTTTTCATGCTGTAAGATACTTTTTCCTCTTTTATGTTCTGATATTTTATCAAGTTACATATTTCAAACACTTCCTCTTTTTTTTTTAATCTGGTAATTTGTTTGAATCTGAAACGACAAACATTTATGTAGCGTAAGATCAGAAAATGGTATCAGTTCAGAAAAATTACAGGTTTTGGTAACATGATGTTTTCTAAAGGCAGTTTAAGGGCTTCTTAAGAACTGTTTACCATTTACAAAGGCTAGGCTGTAATGTAACAGTCCAAGTGAAGATTTAGCTTGCAGTGTGACCAATTATGCCATTTTTTGCTTTGTCTGACTGCTAGTGAAGTAAGGTCCATCAGTTGTAATGAGACCCAGTGCAGTGCCGATGCCGACTCGGTGGCAGAGTTCAGCGTTTCACACTGCCTGGGCTCTGTCACTCTATTGAATTAGATTGATGATGGCAGATTGCAGGGGGCACTAACTGGACCTCAGTGGGAAAGGATGAAGTGTGTAGACAATCCTGGCAGGCACTGTGCTTTGAGGACCCTTCACCCCTTCACAGCTGTTGGCACTAGTCCATTGCTAACAGTGTCCACAGGACTTTAAAGAGACACTATGGGCCTTCTAATTTATGGTCTTAGTAACTTGTTACTGTCGAGGCAACTGTGACCTCAATTCTCTTATTGACAAAAAGATGAAGTGTTATTTGTTTTCTCTGACCTTTTAACATATGAAAGGCTATAAAAGTTTTTTGGGTTTTTTTTCTTTCTTTCCATGGCCAAAGTTGCATTTCCTCTCAGATAAGTTTCTACTGACATCGACTTTTATATGCAGGAATCATTACTCCGAGACAAGCTCAATGATAAGATGTATCACTGCAGTAAAATAGCTGTATCAGTCATTTCTAAAATGCTTCTGATCTCACTCTTTCTTAACAGCTTTCTAAAGAACGTGAACGTCTTCAAGCAATGATGACCCACTTGCACATGCGACCCTCAGAGCCCAAGCCATCTCCAAAACCTGTAAGTGCATATTGCTTTATAAACAGTAAATAGGTCTACAAATGTAGCAGGCTAAGAAAATGAACAATTTAGTGACAGTTGGAAAACAATGAGTGTGATGAAAAATATGGCAATAAAATGAAGGTAAAATGCAATAGCTTGTCAAATTGTATGTTTCTTTAAAAGTAATGCTATCTTTTACAAAATCTATCCAATCTACACCATAGGTGACACTAAACAAAGTACACCTCTAAGTGTCCAAATCATTGCCTTGAGACTGAAACTAGAGTATCTTTTTGTGACAGATTTACAGATATTAAAAGGAAGCCCACTTTGAAACATTTGAGGTTCAGTGGACTCAGTGGCAGTAAAAAGTAAATGTAAAAAGAATTTAGGTACTTCGGAAATTCCTTGAATTACTTACAAGAGACACAAATAAACGATCTGTTATTCTTAAGCAAGTGAACGAAAATGGGTTTTTATGCAGCAAATTTAAACAATTGTAAACACGGTGGTTTTTGCTCAATTTCTGCCATGACTGCAGTGCTCTGCATCCACTGGGGTGTTGTTGGGGTTGGTACAGGCACTGAAAAGTCACTGCTGCTCCCAGCCGCTCCACGGCGCTGTGTCAGGCCCCCGTTGTGCAGCTGGATCTGCAGTCACATCCCGCCTCCACTGAACTGAATGTGGCGTCACGTAAGCAAAAGTATTGTCTGATGCAGGTCCAGTTTTGTACTGGCAGGGGGTCAGGCATCGTAGTACTTACAATGTACTATGCTTAGATACACTGCACTTAAAATAGCAGCTATGTGATACGTTAACTCTTCGTTACTGTTAACCGTGACGGTAACCTTTGGACGTACAATATGAAAAGGATATACCAGTACTTGAAGATGAAATGCTGGGGTATCGATGAAAATCTGTGTCTATCAAAGTCAGGAAATGTAGGCAGAAGGAACATTATCTGTTTTAAAGAGCACACTTGCATATCACGCCCTGTTAATGTTTACGTAGAAGGACAGCATACTCTGTCTCTTGTGTTTTCAGCTCCACGTACTTCAAAGAAAATCTTTGTTTGAGGGCACACTTTATAACCTGATGATGAATGAGGAAAGTGTTAGCATTTCCTTAACCCCTACTTTTGTGAGAGAAAATTTAGATGGATTATTTTTGCTTTCATTAGCCTAACTAAATTCTAATTTTTATTTTAGATTTTAAGACATTTGGAAACTTTAATTTTAGCATAGTGTGGCATATATATTAATAAATCAATCTGAGTGCTTTTTCCATTTCCATGCATTGTGAAGTTTTTCTGTCACGCAGGCTTCTCAAGCAATTCGGCTTAGGTTCCAAATGCTGATGAACTGTGTGGGAAAAGGTTTTCAGAACACATTTCTACTATTTAATTATTTTAACCCCAGATGATCTGTAGTCTATCAAAATTTTTAGAATATTGTTTCTTTACACTTTTAAGTGACTGTCTCATTTCAATAAGATTATTTTTCTCATTTCTTCCTATAGTATAATGTAGATAATCACAAGACAGAATAATTGTCTCGTAAATCCATCAGGAATCTGCAGCTTGTTCTTTTCCAATTAATTATTCAATCAGTAAATTTTTTAAAACTCCAGCAGCATGGTTACATCTACACTAATAAAGAATTTTCAGCCTATAATCCAAAACAGAACCTGAATGAATAATGTAATTGAAGTATTACATTACATAAACCACACATGAAAGAATTGCTAATTGCGTTTGATGGTGGGCAATTAATACAGAATCTTAGATGAGCGATTTAAAATGAAACTACAGTTTAAAGTTCCCTTTGGAACTAGAGATATCTGAAGTGGTGAGCTGCACTACTGGCCTCAAATTGGTTTGAAAGAAGAGTGGTCAATACTACTCTCCCTCCCCCCCCCCTAAAATTTATACACTGTACAAAAGAAGCTTCAAAATTGATATGATAGTAGAGATTTATGGTCTCATGTGCAGTGGCTCAGTTGAGACGGCCCACACATTTGATAAATATTAATAGCATGAATTTATTACCAGGGAGAAATGAGCTCTGTTGGTTCATCACTGCACCCTTAACAGCTATCAGTACATGAACACAAGGTGCAACCGCACTGTCTATTATATGACCCCATTTACTCTCTGAATGGTACTTCATTAAATGGTACCTTTTGGCCATGCTATGGATGGATGAAAATCAAAGTTATCAAGGCTGCGAGTCCTGAATAATGAGTTTCACCCAACCTTGAATATATTCAGATGAGCTGAGGTGGCTAAGTGCTCATCCTAGGTTTTACATGCTTTTCTTTAGTTAATAATAAATTCTATTTTATCAGTTCATGATTGCATGCCTACAAACATGTTATGCTTATTATTGCTGGCTAGTAGAATAAGTTACCGTAACATTGTAAACATAGTAGTTTGCATCCATACAGATTGAGTATTTCTGCTGCTTTTGTAATTTTTAATGTGTCTATAACATATATTGTGACTACACACTACAGCTGTGCCAGAAGTTTTACTGTTTTATGCTTTTTCATGTTTCATTCTCTGGTTGGCAAATATACAGGTTAAAGTATCTTTCAATGAAATGCTGTGGAAGTGAACCTTCCCCCCCCCTTAATTTATATGCTTGCTTGTAAGAGAAAACGATTTTTAAAATCAAATGCACATTTAAATCTTTGTTACTAAAAAACAATGGTTAACAATTCCTAGTTAAGAAAGGTATATGTTACTTAAATCTTCCTTCATCTCTCAGACTCTTCAAAAATACTTCTTTTTACCACGGACAAGCTTAAACTCCTAGCTTTGTGAACGTATTAAATAGAGCATTTGGTAGCATTATCTGAGCTTTTTTTATGTACGTAACAAAGAATTCCCATTCCAGTCCGCTGGCTTAGAGTACGAGCAGAGGAACAGTCTGTGCTTTATTGGGAACAGATGCACTTGGGGATGCCTTCAGGGTGCCAGTCGTTATTATTAGACTGCTAATGTGCTTCTTCTGGCTGCTGCCCAAGAAAGAAGAACAATTAGCTGGCATATGTTAATTTTTGTTTCCCTAACAAATCTCTCTACTGACTAAATGTGTAAAACAAATCCGCAAAGAAAGATCAATCAATGCTGTACACATCATTTTCTCCCCATTAAAAAGAGGTTTATCTTAAGAAGTGTATTTGGGATTTGAAAAGGCAGGTGCTACTAAATTATACACAAAACCCAAATTTTCTGTGTTTAGTCACTTGCAGTTGCTCTACACAGATGAAGAACAATTAATATTAGTTTTCTTGCTAAGCTCTATAAATTACTGTATAAAGTGAAAATGACTACAGATTACCCCTTATGAGTGTCATTTAAGTATATGGCAGCAATCTTTTTATGTGCTGCCCTGAGTATAAATTCTGCTAATTGGATGCTATTTATGACAAAAGATGTATGGTAAATATGACAGAGGTAATACGAGTTTTTGATAATGAGGAACAGGGCCTTACTGAGGGGAGTAATGAAGGGCACACTGTTAAACAGCTTGCATACATTCGCACCTTTTTTTCCTTTTTTCTACCCTGACACCCACTTTCCAGGGTACATCAGCAATAAGTGACACTGTAATCATAAATTGAAAATGATACTTCCAGAGGAATTGGCAAACTTGACATTTCATTATATTTGTTAACACATGCCACAAATGATTGTTAGTGAGGAAATTCCATTTCCCTCTCTCCATCTCCAATCAGATTTAATTTGAAAATTTTCAGCCTCCTCCGGCTAATTTGCAATTAAGACAATTTTGTTTGAATATGTAGTAATGTCATTACCATTCCACCAAATTAGCAAGGAGACTAAAGGTCAGTGTAAAATTTTCCAGCTGGCTGGAGCCTCTCAGCTGAGATTTGGGACTGGGGGAAAAAAAAAAACAAAAACCCACAACTCTGGCAGCATCAGAATAGTAACTTATTTTAAATCTTGTTTGTATGAATACTAACATCTTCTGTTACACTTATTGTTGTCAGCAGGAGCTAAATCTGTTTTACAACAAACCTAAATAATCACCAGCTAGTTTCTATTGCAGGCAAACATACTTTCTCTGAAGTCTGGTAGTAGTAGTAGGAGTTAGTCCTAAGTAACATTGCAGCAGATTATTAGATAACCTCTAACAGCATCCTCTAATTAGAGTTCTTATGATACAATTTCATCCTGTAATTAGTTGAGATTGGCTGCTTCCTTTTGCAGCTTATTAGTGGCAACACAGCTGTAGAAGTGAATCCACTCTCATTTGTCAAACCTTTTTAAGTCTTTTTTTTTTTTTTTTCCTTCTTCTTTCTTCTCCCCCTGTCTGCTTTTTCTTTACTTTCCTTTTGGGTTTCTGCAGCTCAATTTGGTGTCTAGTGTCACCATGTCTAAGAACATGTTGGAGACATCCCCGCAGAGCTTACCTCAAACTCCCACAACACCAACGGCCCCAGTCACCCCAATTACCCAGGGACCCTCCGTAATCACCCCAGCCAGTGTACCCAATGTGGGAGCCATTCGAAGAAGACATTCAGACAAATACAACATTCCCATGTCATCAGGTAGGACACTTTGGATCAATACTTTCATTTTGATATTCCCCGAAATGACACTATCACTAAAATACTGTAGAGGCAAATTGAGGATGTCAAAGGCGTGTTTAACACAGGTGATTTTAAAAGAATTTTTTTCATCTCTGATTTATTTTGCCAATGATGATAAAGAAATAGAAAATGGAAGAAAAGAAGCTCTGAAACAGTCTTGTTTTAGCGTAAAAAGTTGACACTGGATATGTGAAAAGGGTTGGTATTAATGATGATATATGCCCCTTTAGCTGTCAGCCTGTGCTAACCCTATTTAATTCTGTATATATGTGTTAGTGTACTACTTCTCCGCTAACCAGAGGAAAAATGCCACAAAGAAATATTTTAGGTGGGA